GTGCTTGTTCAATGGCTGATTTAAAAAATCAAAAAAAAAAGGGGGAAATTGTCATTACTTACCCATCAATGATGCAGAATTTTCTCAAGGGGTCCAAATTCAATGTATTTTGCTAAAGTGAGGCTGCTGTTGATAATTAATCCCTTTAATCCACCATGAATGAAATAATGCTATGGTTTGGTTTGACTAATGGTTAAATAGAACCATTCAAATTTTTAAAATTTTATTTTTATTTATTTAAAAAGCACAAAGAGAGAAGGACTGAGATCTTCCATTTGCTGGTTCACTCCCCAGATGCCCACAAGAGAGCACTGGACCATGCTGGAGCCAGGAGCTGGCAGTTCAGTCAAGTTTACCACATGGATGGCAGGGACTCAAGTACCTGAGCCACCACCTGCTGCCCCCAGGGTGTGCATTAGCAGGAATCTAGAATCAAGAAGGAGGCTAGACTCAAACCCAGGCCTCCACTGTGGGATGCAGGCATCCCAAGCAGCATCTTAACTGCTATGCCAAACACCTACTCCTCCATTTTTTTTTTTAAAGATTTACTTTATTTATTTGGAAGGTAGAGTTACGGAAAGGGAGAGAGAGAGAGATCTTCCATGTTGGCTCAATCCCAAAATAGCCGCAACAGCCAGAGTGGGGCCAGGCTGAAGTCAGGAGCCTGGAGCTTCTTCAGGTCTCCCACGTGAGTACAGGGGCCCAAGGACTTGGGCCATTATCTGGTGCTTTCCATGACACATTAGCAGGGAGCTGAATCAGAAGTGGAACAGGGGCTGGCACTGTGGTGTAGTGGGCTAACCCTCTGCCTGCTGCACTGGCATCCCATATGGGTGCTGGTTCGAGTCCTAGCTTCCCCTCTTCTGATCCAGCTCTCTGGTATAGCCTGAGAAAGTACTGGAAGATGACCCAAGTCCTTGGGCCCCTGTACCCGCATGGGAGACCGGGAAGAAGCTCCTGGTTCCTGGCTTTGGATCTGCTCAGCTCCAGCCGTTATGGTTATCTGGGGAGTGAACCAGTGGATAGAAGACCTTTCTCTCTGTCTCTCCCTCTCTAACTCTCAAATAAATAAATAAAATAAAATAAAAATAAATAAAAGGCGGCGGAGGAGGAAATGAAGCAGCCAGGACCTGAGGCAGTGCCCATTTGAGATGCTGGCTTCACAAGCAGCTTCAGCCACAATACCGCCCCCACCCCACATTTTTTAAAATACAAAAATTACTCTGTTTAACATGGATCCAAGGACTTGTATCTTCCCACGAGTGGAACTAGACATTTCAGTATTCAGAAATCACATAAAATTAACATTAACTGCAGCAGTATTTTTCTTTATATTACTATGTTTAAATCTACTTAAATAGATGAAACATTTTCATATTAGATACTTCTTTCACAGCAGTTATGTTTGCTCTGTCTGAATAAATACCCTTAACAATTCATTTATTTCAAAACAGCCTCGTTCGTTCTTTCAGGTTTCATTGCTGTTTAACAATTACTTATGGGGCCAGAACTGTGGCATAGCAGGTTAAAGCCCCCGCCTGCAGTGCCAGCATCCCATATGGGTGTCAGCTGCTCCATTTCCAATCCAGCTCCCTGCTGGGAAAACAGCAGAGAATGGCTCATGTGCATGGGCCCCTGCACTCACTTGGGAGACCCAGAAGAAGCTCCTGGCTTCGGATCGGCTCAGCTCTAGCTGTTGTGGCCATTTGGGGAGTGAACCAGCAGATGGAAGACCTCTCTCTCTCTCTCTTTCTCTCTCTCTGTAACTCTACCTTTTGAATAAATTTCTAAAAAGTAACTTCTAAAAAAATCACTTCTCAATTAATAAATCATACAAGATATAAATGACAACACCTACATCAAAGCTAATTTATATATAAATGTTTATCGAAAACAAGTGCAAGGGGAACACAAACAAGACTTGCTCCACATTAAAGAACTAAGCATGCTGAATTCCAGGAGAGGGGCCCCCCAGCTCCTTTTTGTATGTCCACGTAACTACATCACCAGGTAAGTTTTTGAATTTCCCCTTGTTGAAAGAGCTCAAGAATATGTTATCAATTTCTTGAGAAGTCGTCCTTCTGTGGGAAAGGTAGCTCTGAGAGTACGAGAAGAATTCAGGCCACAGTTCTTTACATTTCCATGTATATAAGAAACCATCTCATATATCTGAGGATTTCTACCTGTATCAAAGGTGGCTATGGCCTGCGCTGTGGCTCACTAGGCTAATCCTCTGCCTGCAGCACTGGCACCCCGGGGTTCTAGTCCCAGTCGGGGCGCCGGATTCTGTCCTGGTTGCTCTTCTTCCAGTCCAGCTCTCTGCTGTGGCCCGGGAAGGCAGTGGAGGATGGCCCAAGTACTTGGGCCCTGCACCCGCATGGGAGACCAGGAGGAAGCATCTGGCTCCTGGCTTCAGATCGGTACAACGTGCCAGCCGTAGCAGCCATTTGGGGGGTGAACCAATGGAAGGAAGACCTTTCTCTCTGTCACTCTCTGACTGTCTAACTCTGCCTGTCAAAAGAAAAAAAAAAAAAAAGGTGGCTGGAATTTCTAATTACTCCAGGAAATCACACTGTCAGTCTCATTTCCACATGAGGCTAACAAAAAAAATCTCTGACTGCTAAAAGCCCTTGGGGGAATTTGGTAATGCAACTCATCTCTCCCGACTTGGTAATTTACAATGACCCCTCTAGAAATCACTCTACTTTTCTATTATCAGTTATTTCTCCTCAAGCAAAATATTTAAGAAACTTTTGACATATTCTCTTACTTCCCTAGCACATCCTCTGAGCAACCAGACCCTTGCAAACAGAATTCCAAGAATCAATGGCTATACCTTCCCTAACATTTTTCCCCACTTAACTGCAACTTTCTATCTTCTCTGAGGAGTATATTGACTAAGCAAGACAGTTCCCAATTGGTCAGACTTTCAGAGGGTCGACAAAGCTCTTAACCATCCAGAACCCTCTTCTCGGTGTCAGAAGGGACCTGGCTGCTCAGGAACTCTCAGACAAGGCAATTCAGAGCCTGAAACCATCTCCTAAGCTAAAAGAAATACAGGACTCTGCAAGTGTCAGTAGCAATACAGCACAACAAACACATCCAGTGTAGCTCTTGGTGCTGACTCAATGGACTTCCCTTTAGGCTGGAACATTTTCTGTATGAAGTAGAGATGGTAAGGTGTTCTGACTCAGTATGTCATACCACACGCCCCACGCTTGATCTAGCTGATCATACAAAGTCCTTTTTCTTCCTTATTGCCCAATGAGTGCCCCTCCCAAAGCTACAAATGACTGATAAGAACCTTCCCAGGGAACAAAGGAATGCTCTTTAGCAAAGGAGTAAAGGCTATACAAGTGGCGAAAAGCACCTACACTACAAACTCTGAATGAGCTCATTCCTCTGCAGGGCTGTTACCACTCTGTCATAAAGCACACCTTGGTATATAAACTCTTGAAGAAAACCCCTTTATTCCACTAACAGGGTTCCAAGGTAAAGTCCCTCACAGAGGCTGTAAGAATCACAAAATGAGCTCCTAACGTCAGAAAAATTGTTTCATGGAACTCTGATCATTGTTGTTATATTTTAATACACTTATACTGCCAGTAAAAGAATGTAGCTATCATCAGATGCATAATATAATTTTGAAATTAGAGAATTTTGAACACTACATTCCAGAACAAGCCGATTTCATTTAAGCACACTAACAAGGCAATCAGACAGAATCACAGTATAAATGAAACGTGTGGCTTAAAGATCATCTGAAAAAGACTACAAGCTATCCTTGTCCTCAGAGAACTGAAGTAAAATCTGTGAGAAAGAGCTAGAGATATGGAAATCTTATTTAAACTTACAAGACATTTAAAATCAACAAATGATTAATCCTATTATTGTAAAACTGCAGTGTTTTCATGCGAGGTCTTCGATAAGTTCATAGAAGATGTTTATTATGAGAAAACTATAGGCAGACTTCAAAAAATTCTTGTATCATAATAAATCTATCTTAATTCCAGTTCCCACAAATTTCTGAAGTACTCTCATACTTCTAACTGCCTATAACAAAAGCTCATTGTACGCTCCTTAAAACACTAAAGGTATGACAATGATAACATCTATCAATTTTATTTTTCTTAGATCAAATATTTAAAGACACTCCTGCCTATCACTGTGACAATCCGCCTGGCAGCGGCTTTTTGTCAAGGTTACTGCGCTTTGCGAATCTGTCTTCCTGGCTCTGTGAGCCGGTGCAAGTCAAAGAACTTTAGTAAGGTCTGCAAAACAGGGGACACAAAAGGTGGACAATCTGCAATGGAATTCAATGAGAAAAAACTCCCATGAAGCCCTTTCCAAGGAAGATACAAAATATCTGATCTTTCCCATGCACTCTGTAAGATCATCTGGTTGCTTAGCAGTTATGAACTGGAACTTTTTTACTCAATTGTAAAAATAAACAAAAATATGCCATTAAATAAGTTTTTAGTCCCAGTTACTAGAAGAAACACCTTGCACTTGTTCTCTCTTGATGTGACTATTCATAATGCCCAGAAAGCTGACCTTATCTTGGAGTCTACCTTTACCATCAATGTTTAATCAGAGTGTGACACTGCAATGCTGTCCTGGTTCTTGCCACAGGCAAAGGTGCTAATAGCAGGAGCCAAGATATAGATCACTTGGTGTTCTTGTATCACAAATGAATGGAAATACCCTTAGACAGAAGCAACTGGCTTTGAGCTACGTATGGGGCTCAACGATCTATGCAGCAGTTCTGGCTAATAAACCCCAAGTAAGAGGGCTTTAAGCTAAGTAAAAAATACCCACCAATATAGAAGAATGATAATATTCAAATTAAATACAACAGTTATGTCAAGAAAAACCGTAAGTAAATTACTTCACACGTCAAATTTGTGATGACCTACTGTACTTTGAGCTCATTGTGAAATACTGCTTACTCATACAGGTCAATGAGCTTCCCAGCCTTTCAACTGTATCACAAGCCTTACCTGCAAGCAGGTGAACCGAGTTGAAGCTCTTCTCCAGTTTACCCAGAAGTACAGTGAGAAAACAGTCTGAAGACAGAGTGGTAACATCTTGGGAGCTTTGATCATACACAACCACCTTCTGACTACAATCAATGTCAACCTGAAATGTAAATGTGAGGTTAGGAAGTAAAGTGAGAAAAATAATTTCATAAACCACTGGTCGAGTAGGCTCTTACATTTATTGGGGCTGAAAGAAATAATTACTTCTTGTTTCAATTTATAATTTAAGTAAAATGAGATGTGGTCAGTTTTCTGGATAAACTTACCAGTCATTCAAATGGGTTAAAGGCTTGTAAAAACCAACTTTTAAAAAGCAAAGTCGAGGCTATTTCTGTGTAGATGTTTTAAATTCTTGATACTACAAATATGTAAAATTCACAGACCAAATCAAATGCAAAATAAATGTAACAACCCTTGACCTAAGGAAACATTTTAAAAGCAGGTCTCTACATAGCATTAGAGAGATTATTTAGGAAAATTGAAGCATAAGCTCATTTTTATTCCTGAAGAAAAGAAATAGCCTTTTCTGTCACAAAGAGGACATTTCAGCATCACAAGAGTTAACTTGTCTGGAACAGTATTTCCTTAAGTCTCTATCGGTATCACACATATTTTATGTGGTATATTTTATTACCACATAAGAAAGTAACTCTAATACATAGTTCCTACTTTCTTTCCAAAGCACTTGAAAAGGATGACACTCCTTTCAGTAAATGTACAAAGATATAAAACAATATTTATTTAAGTTATAAAACAATTTCAGCAAGCCATTAAAAGGAAAACAACACATTTCAAATTAAAGCAAGTTAAACCTCTCTTTGGCTTAGAAATATTCTTGAATGTGACAATGATTAATAAATTAGCATCTAAAAAGCAAGCAGAACTTCCTCAAAATCTTTCTCTGCTTAAAAATTCCCCACTCATTGTGTCCATTTAAAAAAAAAGGCAAAACAGAAAGCATTCACCTTATGTTTTGCAGAGTGCTGGATGAGCTCTGTAATTAACACTTTGTCCTGTTGCAATCTTCGCTTCATAAGCTTGGAGCAGTTGATATTAATGGCTTCCAAAATGTGGGATGTATTGTACTCCACAAATGGCCGGCTATCAATTAGCAGCACTTTTTCCGTTCCACTTTCCAGGAGAGCCACCAACTTCTCAGTAAGTATTTGAGTTACAATCATCTCATGGGCCATGACAACAATAAGTCCGCTTTTCCACCTCCTTCTTTAATTTGCCACGATGATGTAATGGTGGTGTGCTCAAAGGCTGAGCCACTCCATTGTACTACAAATGTGTGAGGTCAGACTGGTGGTGATTGGCAAAAGGAGAGTTAAACCCATTTTCAGCAAGAGCCCTCCAAGTGAATGTCTCTTTCTCTTTCCTGTTGATGTGCTCTTGCAAAGGACTCCTTCCACAAAGCAGCCCCTCACACTTGATTCATAAAGAGATGACTGCAATAACCACTCCACAACAAAAGATGCTTTGGGGCTGCCAGTGCATTACCTCATTCTTTACCTTTGCTCCCTTGCTCCAACAGCTTTACCCTGGACTGGAAGCCTACACAAAGAGGGAAAGACAGAAAACAAAACATGGGGTCATAAAAAAGGCAGAAAGAGCTTCCGATTAGACAGAGTATATGATTCATAATATTTACTCCACTAATCTCATTCCATACTTGATGCATTGCTTCACTTGAACAACAAACAGAAAGGACAAAAGAGTATGGCTTCAAAAAATGTGGTAGTGATCATTCTATTTTACCTCAAAATGTAAAAACTAAAACAAGATATATTTATGAATTATAATTACATACGGCCCAGAGCTAAATGACTTGTTAAGAGTTATGAAAAGCTGCTCATAAAATTATTATAAATATTACAAATGGTTTTCCTTCATTTTCTTTTCTTTTTTTCTTGAAAATAACCCCAAAAAACAAGTCTAGGACCAGGTTAGCAATCCCATGTTACTGTGACAAGTGGTAAGCATGTGTATACGCAAGTACCAGGGCGCAAACAGCAGTTCTTGGAGAAAAGGCAGGGGAGCAGGAAGTTCTGTCAACTTCAGCACCCTTTAAGAGAAGGAACAAAAATGGCTGATATGCTTGTCACAGTAACTGCTGAGCTATCCACTGGCAACCTGTGATACTCTCAACTCTACCTAAGGTAGATTGGCTGTCTCCTTCCATGACCATCTCCCCATCCTGAGTTCCCTGACCCTCCAAGGCTAATCCTTCACATTTTTGGGGCTTCATTCCTAAAAGAATCACTGATAAGCAGCCCTACCCTTGAAACTCAGACTCTAAGTCAGACCCCCAACATACAGAGGTCTTAAAGCTGGACACAGGGGCCAGCGCTGTGTTTTAGCAGGCTAAGACTCTGCCTGCAGCAGTGACATTCCAAATGGGTGCCAGTTCATGTCCCAGCTGCTCTACTTCCAATGCAGCTCTCTGCTTGTGCCCTGGGAAAGAAGTGGAAGATAGCCCAAGCGCTTGGGCCCCTGCACCCACATGGGAGACATGGAGGAAGTGCCTGGCTCCTGGCTTCAGATCGGCTCAACTCAGGCTGTGGTGGTTACTGAGAAGTGAACCAGTGGATGGAAGACCTCTGTCTTTCCCTCCATCTGTAACTCTACCTCTCAGATAAATAAATAAAATCTAAAAGTTGGACCCAATGTTTCCTTGATCTTGCCAAAATTCTATAATCAACCATTTCCTAATTAGTACCAGTTGGAGTTTTTGTATCCATAGCTTGCAACTCACTGACTTCCAATATTCTCAGATTCTCACCTCCTCTGGTCCATATCTGTTACCATGAAATCCTCTCTACTGTTGGCATTCAAACTACCTGCTATCAAAGGCTTTGAAGTGACAGGTTTTATTTCCAACAGTGCTTTGCACAAAAGATGCCGACTTTAGCACAGTTAAAATTGCTAAAACAATTAAAGATTCTAAATAAACATCTGATTAACTGATTTCAAATCAGAATAGTAGACCTTTCAAATACCTTTGAGTCCTATTTCCTAACTTAAAAATTAGAAACCGAAGCATGAAGAAGATAGAGTGTTATATGAGAGTGGCCATGAGGGGACTTGAGAAAGTTCACAGAGGAGCAGGCATTTAACCTAGTTAAGATACTTACGTCCCACATGTGAGTGCCTGAGTTTATCCCTGGCTCCAGCTTCTGGCTCCAGCTCTTTGCTAATGTGCCCCCTGCAAAGCAGCAGGGATGGCTCAAGTAGCTCAATCTCTGTCACTTATGTGGGAGACCCAGTCTGAGCTGTCAGCTCTCTGGCCTGGCTCTGGTAACTGAGGGTAATACAGAGTGAACCAGCAGATAGGAACTCTGTCTGCTTGTCTCTCTTAAACAAAAAAAAGTAACAAAATTAAAAAGAAAGGTAGAAAATGTAAAAGTCTGTGGAAAAATGAAATTAAAAGATAAGTTTATTTTGGTGTGAAAAAACCTGAAATCCATGCACATGAGGGGTCTTCAAAAGGCCATGGAAAAAAATATTAAAAAAAAAAACTATGCATGAATTTAAAAAATATTTCACCAAAATAAACTTATCTTCTAATTACATTTTTCCACAAAATTTTGAAGTTCCTCATATAATCTCCTTAAACTACCTACAAAAATACTAAAGAATTTCTCTTCACCTACAAAAATATAAAAATTGCTTTTACCTCCTCACAAAGTTTGTTCTGAGGACAAAATTATCTAAGTTACCTAAAAGTCCTAAGTAAAAGCAACTGTGACTCAGAAAGGAGGAAAAATACTCTAACCAGGCCAATGGTGAACTAGGCTGGTCTGAATCTGAAATCCACAGGACTTCACCCAGCAGATAAAAACAGAAGTGATTCCTCCTCCTATGTCCAGCTGCCACCTTTCTCACACAGCCTGACACACATGGAATTAAACGGCACCTAAGAAATCATTTCATCTACTCCACATTTTATAATTCTGCTTCTTTAGTACATTATATGTTCATTTATTATATCTTCCACAAAACAAATTTCATTATATTATATTGATGTTTTCATTATACTGAATACATTTATTATAGCTTTATGGCAATAAGATACAAAAGACATCTCTATTTTCAACTGAAGAAACTAGAGTACACAATCTGTCCCAGTCAATCAACTAATAAAGTTTTGAAAAACTTGCACCAAGGCCATAGCATTAAACCAAGTCCTGAATGCTTAGTGACACAGTTCATGGCAATGTAAGGTCCTGTACTCAGTCTGACTCCCAAACCAGGGCTTCTACTACTGGGTTACCCTGTTTTCCGAAAGTATCCGTCCCCATAATGGAACTGGACTGGGAAAGAATGACATGACTTGTCCATGAGGGTGCCCAGGTGGCACAGAAACTTGAAACGTGAGAACAAGAGCAAGTCAATTCCAACAATGGCACTGAGTCTCTGAGTCTGATTGGCTCCTTTCGGTGATAAAATCTGGATGGGACAAAGCAGTGATCTGGGTTAGCAGATCAAGGGACAAAAGGAAGGAGAAGACAGCAAAAGGAAGGAGAAGACGTGCCAAAGTTGAATCAGAAAATTCTCATCTTTGCTTTCCTTCTGCCAAATCTCATAAGCTCAAAGACAGGCTGTGGCCAACAGTTTTCCAGAGTGGATAGTGGTCATTCTTACCCAGAGAACCAGAGCCAGCAGTGCAAGGTACAAAAAGACTCTTCCTGTGATCACAAAAAGATCTGGTCCAAGCGGCTGTACTAAGAGGACGTAACAAAAGTGAAGAGGTGACACGAGGATTCGGTTGCAACCTTTCACTGTTCCACTGAGGCCAGCTGGAGTCCTCCTGTCACACCGTAATGCCCACGGTCTGATTTTCTATAGTCCTAGACTGATTATGTGAGAGGCAGAGCCTTCCCCAGTAATAACAGCCTTACCCTCCTTTATTTACAAGTAAAGAATTTTGGGTAAATCTCGATCCTCAACTAAAACTCTAAAACATTTCTCTACATTCACTGTGTGCTGTGAAGAATGTCAGCACCCTGAGATGAGGGACATATCTATGAGAATTTTCAAAATCTTTTTTAACAGGTAGGATTTAAAAGATAACAAGTTGGGGCCAGTGCTGTGGCGTAGTGCGTGGAGGCCACCACCTACAGTACTGGCATCCCATCTGGGCGCTGGTTCAAGTCCTGGCTGCTCCTCTTCTGATTCAGCTCTCTGCTGTGGCCTGGGAAAGCAGCAGAGGATGGCTGCTTTGGGCCCCTGCACCCTCGTGGGAGACCTGGAAGAAGCTCCTGGCCCCTGGCTTTGGATTGGCCCAGCTCCACACACTGCTGCCATTTGCGAAATGAACCAATGGATGGAAGACCTCTCTCTCTCTGCCTCCTTTTCTCTCTGTGTAACTATGACTTTCAAATATATAAATAAATCTTAAAAAAAAAAATACCAAGCTAACTTTACCCAAAGTTTCTAGAAGAAGTCAAAAGAAACAAATTCTTAGATTAAACCAGAGTCAAATGAATATAACAAAATTCAGTGCAGTGTTATTTAGCTATTTACTTGGCTACTTTTTTAAAGTTTTAATTAATTTTTTTCATTTTTTAGTAAATAACATATTTACATGGTTCAAAAAATAAAATCTAAATATGTATACATACTTTTTTTTTTACATGCAGAGTTAGACAGTGAGAGAGAGAGAGAGAGAGAGAGAGAGAGAGAGAAAATGGTCTTCCTTCCGTTGGTTCACCCCCGAAATGGCCACTACGGCTGGCGCGCTGCACCAATCCGAAGCCAGGAGCCAGGTGCTTCTTCCTGGTCTCCCATGCGGATGCAGGGCCCAAGTGCTTGGGCCATCCTCCACTGCCTTCCCAGGCCACAGCAGAGAGCTGGACTGGAAGAGGAGCAACCGGGACAGAATCCGGTGCCCCAACCAGGACTAGAACCCAGAATGCCGGCGCCACAGGCGGAGGATTAGCCTAGTGAGCCATGGCGCCAGCCCAATGTATACATACTATGAATATGTGCAGTTCACTGTATGTCATTTATTCCTCAATAAAGGTGTTAAAAAATTGCCATGATACTGGAACTTTAATAAGTATTTAAACAGAAAAAGTGAATATATTGAAATCCTGCTCCCATCTGTGTCCTCTACCTCTTAGGTCCCAATCCTGCCCCGTCACTGGTAACCACCACTGCATTTCTTCTGACTGCTTCTAAAGATTTTCTTTTAAATGGACGCAGAATAAAACACAAGCCTACATTCTTTTCCTTCTCTCCTTTGTTCAAATGGTTACATGGCGGACTTATACTGTTTTGCATCTTGGTCTTTCTTTCACTTATAATACTGAAAGTTAAGTTTTTTAACATTTCATTAGAGAGTGACTCAATCTTTCTCTCATGGCACCTAAATAAAATATATAGAAATACTTAACCTTACAAGACTACTCCCAAGTTCCCTAAAAGATAAAGCAAATGATTTTATGGCATCCTAGTATGACAGTTTCTGCTCTAATGACTCTCACTTTAAAGAAAGTTAAAATGTGACAGTATACATCCACGAAATTAAGGAAATTATCTTTCACAAAAGA